AAGAACATCTTAAAAAATTCATCACCCCAAAAAAGGCAAAAGGCCTCCAATCTAACAAAACTGATGTCGAAAAAACAAGACCAGTGGAAATCCCGTATCTCCACAAGACCTCACACAATTTAAAAAGAAACGTAGCAAGTCGTTATGGGGACCGAGTTGGTTTTCCGGCACCGCAAAAAATGAGCCAAATTTGGCCAAGAGACAACTCACTAGCCGAAGGTGCTGCAAAACACAAGTGCACTAAGAAACATGCCAAGCCTTTCCTTCCGTGCACTTCAGGCGTGGTGTATAACTTACCACTCTCGTTTGGCATCCGCTACGTCGGTCAAACAGGCCGATGCCTTAATGATAGACTACGCTAACATGATTACTCTCCGAGAGTCACAGTAAGAGGACATCTTGCAACAGATTGTAAAGAGTGCACATACAGTCCGTTATTCGGGGAAACGAGCATCCTAGTGAGGCACAAAGACAAATTGACTCGCGACGTACTGGAAGTTTACCACATCCCATCTGAAGATATGGAATGCATTAGTGTTGAATCTGTTGCACTAACAAACAAGGAAGTAGATTTCTTAGAAGGCTCCGCATGAACTACGGTTGCCGCGAGACATCCGGCAAGGAAAGCAAATTGTTGTGTGTATGTTTATACAGCCGGAAGTTAGTCTGCCTCAGTGGGCGTCTGGTGTCTCAGCTGTAGATGAGTAATTTAGCCATTACGGTAAAACCGCTAGCCTGGGGTCTTTAACGTGCACCAATAAAGACCCCGCACAAGCCAAGATTGATGCAATTTTAAATTAAAAAAAAAGAAAAAAAGAAAAGGGGATCGGTGGCCGAGTGAGCTAAAGCGCACACCAGCTCGGAGCATGTGGAGTGAAAGCTCGCGCTGCAGAACCCAGGATCCTGGGCTCAATCTCCACCCCTGCCCGTTTCGATCTGGATGAGCATCGTACTGGCGTGCAATCGTGTATCACTACTGCGTGATGCACGTTAAAGACCCTATAGGCTAGCGGTTGTACTGCACTGGCTAAATTGATCATCTACAGCTGGGAGACTCGTCACTCGTTGAGGCAGACCGAGTTCTAGGCTGTATAAACATACATACAACCCAATCGTGACGGCCAACAACGGGTCTGGTGTTTTGAACAAAGGATCTGGTGTCTGAACCATGTGTCCGCGAGGGAACACCCTTCCATTTATTTTTCATCTTTCTTTTTCATCGTTCACTTCATTGGGGGTGATAGATTTTTACGATGTTCTTCCTTCTCTTCATCTCAGTAAATATAGTTTGAGTAGCGTTCTTTCCTGTATCTTCTTTCTTCTCTCTACGTGTGCGCTACTACCGTTTAGACGTACAATACTCGCCCATTACTTTTCAATTTCAATGCTAACGAAACGACGCAGATAAAGTTAAGGAGCAAGCTATTTCAATTTGCAGATGACACAGTAGTTGTGCTTAACTTTATTTCACTTCATTTCAATTTATTTCGCCAAAGAACGGAGGCGGGAAGGGGAGGTGGGTGGACAAGGAAGGTAGAGGGAGCTGATGTCGCAACTTGACGAGGGCTTCGCCTCCCATTACAGTTGAGCATTGGAACAGGACAGCGTCGAAATCAAATTGCGAAGTTCAAAGTATAAGTATCTTGCACAACATAAGAGTTCTTTAAAAGAATAAAAAACACATCTAATAAAAATGATACGTATATCTGTTTTTATCTCGCTTTAATATTTACTTTTTTATTCAAGAACGGTATTACTAGCCACGAGGAACTCTTAGGTCTTTTTTTTTTACAGCGGAGCTGTTAAGGGCGAGTTCCCCCAGGATCGTGCCCCGCCAGATTAGAAATGATGACACCGAACTCTGGACAGCTACCGCTATCTATGAGCGACGGCGGCAACCAGACAACTGGTGCCGCCGTCGCTCATAGATGGCGGCAACCTTTCTTCGGAGGAAGAAGAGCGGGAGCGGAACGAGCGGCGATGTGCGCAGCAGCGCAAATAGTTCCGCAACCGCCGCGAAGCCGCTATCGCCTAAAGTTCCACTGTGTCGAGCGCTTCAGATTTCCTTGCGAAAGAAGAGCAGATCGCTCGCCTGGAAAGCCACCGCCGAGAACAGAAGCTACAGCTCCTCTGCTCTTCCCTCTTCACCAGGGTGGAAAGGCTGAACGTTTCTTGAATATAAGAAAGGTCTATTGAAAGCTAATGCGGCCTTCAATTATATTCAACAAAAAAGAAACATGGTGATCGAATTGTTGCTTGGCGTGATTGGTTCTTTTTTGTGTGTTTTCCGAGTGTTTTTCCTCAACCTTCGATCTGAGCTCAGACTCTTTGGGTTTAGGTGCACCTTCTCCTTTTGTAACAGAGAGAAAAATTAAAGTAATATATTTTGTTTGCCTTTAATATATTTCTTAAAGAGTGGGCATGTGCGTAAGTCTCGCGGGTTCCTCTGAAAGTTTTCAAACATGAGAAGAATTCTTTTCTGGAGGACTATCATTTTGCTAGAGTTCGTCTTGGTTGTTGTTCCCAACACTAAAACCGTATTTGTTCCTGTAATAGGCGCACTTCTTATGAAGAACGCCCACTTGCCTGCAGAACACACACACAACCATTCATCGTGTTCTGCTTAAACAAACAGAGCGAATAGCGAGGTCCAGATTACAATTCTTCGTAAAAATGCGATCGGAGCAAATCACATTTTTGCATGATGACGTTATCTCTGTCCCGTAAATCGCTGCCATTCTTCTGCCGGTCGTGGTGATTCGCTATCCCCCTGCTTCACGGAAAAGCAGACGCACAGGCTTTGTTCACAAGCAGCGCGGCTATTACTCGAGCAAATATGGTACGCCATATGACATTCTTGAGTAGCATGAACAATAATGTAGTACTTTTTTTAACCAACTTGCGAGTATTTTATGAATTTTATATATACATCCAATTGCTTTTGATAATTTAGAGCAGAGTTTGTGTATATGCGTCGACCAGTTAAACTCTTCATTAAACCATATGCCTAGGAATTTTTGCTCCTTAACCCGTTCGAAAGACATTCCGTCAGAGTTGGGACGTATGGAAAGTTACCCTTGCTCGTTGATTGGACGCGAAACCATACTTTGAGTTTTTTTAGCATTACGCTGTAGTTTGTTGCGCCTTAACAAGCTAGATCAGTGGTTCTCAATCACTGATGTTCCGCGGACCCCTTGTAGATCGGCGGAGATGATGGAGGACCCCGTTCGTGGTGAGAGGAGAGGAAAGTTATAGGTTAACTATAAGAATGATATAAAAAATGGATATAATTAAGGGCTAGTGTGAAGTAGACATCTCTTATTGACATATACACAGGAAACTCACCCCAATATTGGAACGTTTATTCTCAATATTTAAAAAAAGGCAACTTTTATTGCCGGGAGGCAGGTCTTCGCAGACCGTTAGGATGCCTTCGCGGACCCCAAAAGGTCCGCGGACCCCCACTGGAGAACTACTGAGCTAGATAATCCAACCAGGCATCTATATTTTATTGTTTCTAGTGTACCTAAAGCAATGGTTTCATTCGCGTACATGATTAATTTTGTGGAGAATTGTATCGTTGTTATGTCATCAGCGTAGACTAGAAGTAATAAAGGACGTAGAATTGACACTTGTAGTACCCTGCGTTGTACTTCTAGCATATCAGAGGCTTTGCTCATGTGCGGATATTGAAATCGATTCTTCAAATAACGTTCAAAAAGCTTTAAGGCAACGCCGTGTACAGCATGATATTGAACTCTAACCAATAAAATATTTTTCTGTATCGTATCGAAGGCCTTCGTAAAGTTAAGAAAGAAACCTAGTGTGAAATTTCTTGTTGGTTTTCTAAATGATATTATGTTTTATGTGGAGTAGTGATTGTTCTCAGAATTTGTTTTTTGAAAACTATATTGTGTCTTTTTATTATATTACATGTTTGCAGAAAACACCTATAATCTAGCGGAAATTACATTTTCAAATATTTTGGAAAAAAATGGCTGTACCGGTATTGGTCTATAATTGTACAAGGTATTTTTTTTCACTGCCTTCATGTTTTGGAAAAAGTCTTGCCAGTCTTAATTAGTTGGGAAATATTCCTGTCTGCACTATGACGTTTGCAATATGAAAGATAATGTGGTAGAACGTATATAAAGCGTGGATTACTGCGATTGAAATAATTTAGTCAATAGGTTGATGCAACCTTTTTTTTCGGTCAATCCTTTACATTCGATCGGCTTAGTCAAAATTAATCAAATGCTCTATTCCGTTCATGACAAAACTTCCTGCATTATCATTTTGTTATACTCACCGCATTCTTCGATTAATATATCCATTAATCAATTATTGCTTTGATCGTGATACGCTATTTAACCTGTTAATCGGTTAAATTTTAAACAGCAAAACAAAGTGAATATTCAACGCTTTAACCACGCAGACGTGGACGATTACACTTGTATGAAGGTAAACCTTAGGTAAAATTTTGACCTGAAGTAAACTGTAGAGGCATGTTTTGTACCTCCAAACTAGTGAAGAAGGTTATACGTGTCCCAGCCACCTCAACGCCGTGCGAGTGTCCGTTTAGCGCACTAGAGACTTTTGTGAACAATCGAGGGAGTTCTCTATTGCCGGAGTACATAAACGAACCTTTTTGCTTCTGCGACCGAAGGAATAATTTGTGAGTGTGGGTGCCTTTTGGCTGTCCTCAACTACACACTTCAAGGTTGACTTAAGATTCCAAATTGTACACTGCGCCGTCTATCACATATTCAGGAAAAGTGAAATTGCAATTTTAAGTTTATTAAAACTTTTACGCGTGAAAATGAACGGAACCGAGCATTCCATAAAAATAATCGATTAAAGGGCGGTGATTAATCGGGTGAACATTTTTATTCGACGCCCAGCCCTAGTTATCGACGGTCGGGAGCCCGCACTGGAGGCGGGACAAGCCGAGCTCCTCCCTGCCCTTTTCGTGCTGTCTGGGACTACCGTTTGAATCGCAGGCAGCATCATGGTCAGCGTGGTGGTGTTGTCCAAGTTTTGCCGCGTGAACCCAGACAACGTGTCCATTTCGATCGCCGCTGCTCTCGGGGACGTTGTCACCGTGGGACTCCTAGCCTGTGTCAGCGCCGCCATCTTCCACCTCCTCGGTGAGTGCACAAAGGATGCAGTATATGACCATGAGGGTCTGTGCTCAGAAGTTTGTTTGTTTGTTTGTTTGTTTGTTTATTGGAACTTTGGACAAGACAGCATTGTCATGGTGCTGAGGCAAAAAGTGACAATAAGTAACCTGACCAGGCCCCCAGCACCAGGCTACACTTGCAGCAGATGCGGCAGGCAGACGACTGGTACTGTACTTCAGTTAACCATAAACAAAAAACAAAAATACACAAATAGAAAGTAGATCACTACACTACATATGATCTTGCAATGAAAAATAAACAAGCAACAGTATACAACAAAAATATATGACCTAGATTACTACAAATACATCTGTTCACATAATTTAGAAGACAACAATATTATGCGGGAAGTAGAAAATATGTTTTTGATTGTTTTCTGACGGTCAAGAGTTTTGAATTATGATCGATTACATCGATTAAGCCAGGATGGAGGTTGCGAAGGTTAGTAACCTGCCAAGATAGTAATTGCGCACCGTACTTTGCTTTAGTTCTGATTTTTATAAAGTTTATGTTTCTGAAACTGTAGTGTGCATCAGTATTCGTATATGTAGAAAGGAATAGTTCACGGTCAGTTTTAGCTTGGGGGAATATAACCTCAGACAATCGTTGAATATACAGTGCCTCAATATTCAGTATACGATGCTGTTCAAAGCATTGGGATGTATGATCGCGGCTTGATAGGTTTTAAATGAACCGTATACTTTTTTTCTGCATTAAGCACAAACTAGTCATATTACATCTGGATGTAACCTCCCAGACAAGTAAACAGTAGTGCAGTCGCGAATGAACAGTAGTGAAGTAGAGCTGACGCTTTAGCCATATTGCTAGTAAGGCACGAAATCGATTCAGCATACCAATATACTGTGCAATGTTACGCTTCACAAAATTTACATGACATGTCCAGCGGAGGTTTTCATGAAAATGTATGCCTAAGAATTTGTATTCGTTAACCCTTTCTAGTGACCGTGACTGAAATACTATTTTGGTAGTAAGGTTTACTGGTCCAATGATTGAAGAAAACCAATAAATTTTGTTTTGTTAACATCTAGAAGTAGTTGATTCGCATCAAGCCACTTCAATAAGTTTACTAGTTTAAGCAATACTAGTAAAGTAAAAATGACGTGATTAGGGTCCAATGTAATTGGTTTAGATTTAAAGTAAAAAAAAACGAAGTAAAGGAGTGGCCATCAATACACCTTTTTTTCAAAATCCCATCAAACAACATTGGCGGTCGCCATTTCTTGGGTAGATAAAGCGTGTGATTCGATCCGAGTCGTCGCCAGACGCTGACGCAGTGCTCGTGTCCAGTACAGACACAGAGTGTGTGCCCAAACAATGAGGGACTCAAATAATTGTTGCACACACCACAAAATGGCGCGTACTTTTGAAAAGGGCCTATTGTTCGTGGTTAATCATGTTTATGCTGGTACAAATTTTGCCACATACTTCCGCATTTACCGGCATAGAACATGGCTCATGAGGAGGCAGCTATAAAATTCGTGTCGGAGAGATCGACATTCATTCTGCACAAAATACGTCTAGTCGGCCATGGAAACGAAAGAAAAAAATGGGTAGCCTACAGCAGAGGTAATTTCGTCTATTGCTAGAGAAAATGTGATTTACAGTATAACTACTTAGTGCGCAAAATCCGCTGTTCGCAGTCTCGACGCCATGCAGGCCCAGAAGCACGCTCGTCAGCGAAGCTGATGGACAGGGAAGAGAGGAGGTGGGTGGGATCGATGCCCGAGTATGCTAAAGCACCGCAGCTCAAAGCGCGTGCGGCGGAAGCTCCGCTGCAGAACCCAGTAACGTAGCCTCCTCTATACTCACAAAGCCTGTTGGTTCGACGACGGAGACATAGGCCGCTTACACTAGCGAGAAAACGCGCGCGGCGCGCCGATAAATCGGTTGAGCGGGAAGATAAAGGGCTTGTCTCTGCACGCGCTCCTGGCACTGACTGTGCTACGGGGACTTTTTGTTACTTCCTGCGATCGGCATGCCACGCGCGTTTTCTCGCTAGTGTGGGCGGCCCTTTAGAGTGCCCGGTCGCAGATTTGGAGCGCGAGAATCTGGTAGCACAAAGCATTTCTCGGGGAACGGGGACATCAGCGCACAGCTTTTGCAGCGGCGAGGTCCCTTCAAACCCGACGAGGAAAGCGGTAGCGCGAGAGTAACGCGAGGAGCACGCGCGGACATTCTATCGCTCAGGCGCACGGCCGGACTGGAAGCGCGCGCTCTCTTTCTCTTCTTACGGCCTTTACAATATTGGCAATCGCCACGTCCTGCCGCAATTCGTGGGAGGCGCTGTCACCTCACCCCTGGTAGGGAGCCTTCATAACCCCTGAGCTACCCTTTGCCGTTTGCACAGAGCGCGTCTGACAGTGTATCTCAGCGCTGTCGCAACTTGCGGCCGAGATTTTTATAGCCTTTGACACCTGATTCTTACGTTTAGACCCTCAGCCACTGTCTAATGCGCTTCTGATAAGCCCAAAACGGTGATTATTTGACGCACATCTCCGAGAGATTCGGGAGTAAAAAGTAGTAAGTAGAGACAGCGAATGCAATTGCGAAAAACCTATACTCGTCTTTACCTCCAGGACTTCTGTTGCAACTCCAGAACCGGAGGAGACGGACCCCGTCGACGTGGAGGAACTTTAAATGATAAATAATTCGTACACTCTCGTGAAATGTAAGCAGGCCCAATATATCTATTGCCGTGATCTGCATCATCATTTCACAGGCCGCACATGAAGTCGGTCAGCTGCTCTAGACGAGGGTGTAGTAGTCGTGCTTCCTCGGGGGCTTGTGCACATATCCAACTGATTTTTCGTTTCTGTCCGTGACCGTCTCTGCATGGTTAATCAGAAGTATTCTGAGGAACTTGTTGCAAATTAAACCAGCCAAGCGCTTTGAGTGACTGTTATCAATGCTTTAAGCAACTTAGGATTGGCGCGTCTTCAAAATAGGGTGCAATGAGTAGTTGCAGAACTTCGTGCACATTTGTACGCAGAAGGTGCTTAGCAGCCTTTAAAAAAAAAAAAAGCAACAATGTTGTCTAGAAGTGCGAGGAACCTAGGATTTGGATAACGAAGTCCGCTTTTATCCTGGCCTTGCAATAAGACGAACAGAGGATCACTTCTGTTACTCGTAGTCAACAGCATAACACAGGCGGCGCACCCAAACTCACTAATGAGTTTCACCAGGTAGCCACCGACGTACACCAGACGAGAGTATGTCACGGATGGAGATGGGCAAGGCTCTTTCAGTTTTTTCAGGTCAGTGGTAACCGAGTCGGGCACAGCCGCTGCCAGCTGCTCAGAATCAGTGTCTGACGTCTGTATTTGCTTAAAAGGGCCTTTTCTTTGACAATGTGATCAAGGGCTGTTGTGACAGCCCTTGCATGACTTAAATCGGAGCGAAGTTCAATAAACGGTTGCCAAAACAACAACCTACGAAGCTCGAACACGAGCGCAAAGCAGGGACTCTCCGAGTGAAGTGAAGTGGGGTGAGGTGGTTGCGCCCCTGGTGGCAAGCGAGTGAATTACATACGGAAAAAAAAATGCCATTGACTCCCGGGCGATTGCAAAAGCCGTAAGAAGAGAAAGACAGCGCGCGCACTTCAAGTCCTGCCGTGTCGGGAGAAGTGTATCTTTGCGTCTCGCCGCAGCGGGGCGCCCGTCACGTGGCTCTACTCCCATCCGTTGTCTGCCGCTCTACCTTTTTCAATTTCGGCGGCCACTTCTCGTGGCGATCTGCCAGGCTTTGTCAGTATAGAGAAGGCTATGCCAGTAATCCTGTGTTCAATCCATGCTCCCGCCCGTTTCGACCCGGATGAGTTCGGATCGGCATGTGGACATACATCATAACTGCAGAAGCACTGCTACGCCAGGCTAACGGTGGCACTAGAATGGCTTCAATGGCTACGCCAGCGGTCGTACTACAATGACTCAGGGAAAATCATTCAGGAAAGCCAGAAAGCAACGAAAGCCCTTCGAGTAGTTCTGCACGACGCAGGCCTTCTGAACAAGCTCTGAAACTAAAACGCACCATTACGACATTACCGGCATGTCCTTGACCATGTAACTGGCCTGTCTAAGAACGTGTGAGCGAACGTTTGCTTCTTTGTTGATGTGGTATGCTCTAATATTTCATTTCATGCTAGGTTTTATCGTGTTTATTTAGCAGTTATGTGTGTTTCTTTATCACGAAGTAGACGACCAGTACCAACTCTTCTTTCGTGTCTTGTTTTATTTTTTTCCTCCACAAAGAAAAATACAAACCCGCCTAAAAGCGGAGTCACTAGCCGTCCACGGCGGCTGACTAATTACACTCAAATCTCTAAGAGAATTAAAGTTTTAGAGGCATCAACTTTTACAAGTCACTGTTCGCAGCCATACAGGTAGCTCACTTTTGGTGCGCATGTCAGTTGTAAGCATCTTTGCAGTGTCTTGTAGTTCAAGACGGAGGAGGAAGGGCGGAGTATTGGTGAATTGTCTCCTTCCTTTCCCGTTCCCCGAAATACTCTCTCGAAGAAAATAAAGAAAATGAAAGACCTGCAACTGCTCAATCATAATATAAAAAAAAAAAAAAAAACACATCCCGAGCTAGCTATTTTCACAATCGAGGAAACGTTTGGTCGGTGGTTTCTCTATTTGGAAGCCTTTCTTTTATAACCCCTTATCGTGCAGTTTATAATTTCTTCTTGAAAGGTAGGTTTGTACAGTAAAGAAAATTCGCAGTTCGCCGTATTGGGTGGTGCAACCTTTGAACTGCTTCGGCTCGTTTTACAGCGTCAGTTGTACTGGGCTTGCTGTACTGGTCGAGCGCCGTGTTACAGAAAACGAACGAAGCGTGCACGCATTTATCGCAGGCTTTAGCGCCGGGAGAGGGCGAGTACAGCCAGATCAGCAGTATTTCTCGCCTTTTTGCATATAACACTCGCGGTTGAGGCGCAGCGCATTTAAACC